TGCTGGACATGGGCACCAGCGACCCCCGTGACCCAAAATGGAATAAGCGGGTAAAGAAAATGGATGGATGGATGGATGGATGAAAATTGTGCACCTCATTGACTAAAGAACTGAATATGCATTTAACATTTTTAGAATATTAAATAAGCATTTTGCTTGTTTACAAATCACTATACATATGCAATTTGCAATCAATTTGTCCTGATGTTCAACCCGATCCTGGCTCACCTTGCATTCTCCTCTAAGAATGAAAAAAAAAAAAAAAAACTGTCCCACAAAGATGCACTGAGTGAACCGAATAATTGACATTAACAAGTAGATAAATATCTAAATGTTACTGCAACCCTGTGGTTATGACATCATATTAACACTCCATCTGTGGTTTGGAAAGTATAACATTCTCCCATACAGCATTATCCTGGTTTCCTCAGTCAATTAAACAAGAAATTATTGTTCTTTTTTTTTTTTTTCCTTCTGACTTTTGCCAGTATTCCCAGCTGACCAGGATTAAAGCTTGTGCAGGGAATGTAAAGTAATCATTTTATTGTGTTGCTCCTCTAATGTTATTAGGTTGAATCTTTTTTTTTTATTATTAATTACTTGAAAATGAACTTTCAGTGACAGCATGTAGCTACAACTCATGTTAATTTTACAAACTTCATTTTATTTATTATCTTTTTTCATTTGATCTATTTCATCTTCATTTCATTTGAGCTTCTCTTTGCCATTTGCTTTCCCTTCTTCATTTTTCTTCTATATAGTAAGTTGCTTTTTAAAAAAAAAAAAAAGTTTATTCTGTTTCACATCTACTAACACACCATATTTTAGCCCAAAATGTGTTAAATTGACCGTGGTATAGCTGCTTTTGTGTTTCAAACAGTGAATTTGCTGTGACAGCCTCCTTGAATATGTTTTGCTCCAAACATCAATGAGTTCTAGAAGTACGCCCGACAATTACTCTCTTAGTATTTCATTCAACACTTTTCACTCATTCATGATATATTTTGCTAACAGACAGTCAAAAGTTATTGGCAACATTCTAAAACACAAACACATGTTGTATAGGCCTTTCAGCTTCAGCCACAGCACATTGTCTCTCACTATTTGCCAAAGTGGATGACTGAAAGTATACACATTTTTTTTGTTTGGTTAACTGTAGCAGTCATCTTGAATAGTAGTTTGTCCAAAGTTAAATGAGTTGAAAATGTACATCCGATATATGAGAGTTCAAATAAAATATGTTCACTTGCTCATTATATATTTTATTAATGCTTCAGGCAAGCACATGCATGCACACACAAGCAAAACATTATCATCTTTTACCTTTGGTGGTGGGCAATAATCACGTTCAGTAAAAGTTTCTTAGATTATGATGGCAGAATTTGTCACTGAGGTACAAAGTATATTATTGAGTATTATCTATTAAAAAAAAAAGTACTTAATATTGTACTTTAAATTTTGTGGTTTGTCTGTTCCTCTAGACCATCTATTTTACCGAAACATAAATGTTTTCCTCTAAATCAACATGCTAAACACACACACACACACGATGCGTCTGTTTCTGGAACACCTTCACCTCACATGGTCTCATAATTCTCACATCTGCATGAGTTTTGATGCTGATAGGAGTGGAGGCCATTTACTAATTTTAGAAACTGACAGTTCAAGCTTAAATGACTGGATGGCAAGTCATTATTTTATAACTAGTTCTTTTTTTTTTAATTTTCAGCGAAAAGTGGAGCAACCTCACAAATTCATTCTGGCAGCTTCCACCATGAGATCCTCTGCAGACCAGCCCTCTTTTCTATTATTTATTCATCTTTTTCATTTTTTTTTTTTTTTTTTTTTTTTTTTTCATAAAGAAGCAGGCCAGCCTTGGTGCAGCATGTCTGCACCTGCAGTCCTTTGCACATCCATTGCTTCCTGATGCACATTATGTATGAATAAGTCAGTAAAATCAGAAACTGCGCAGCTCTGTATTAAAAAGGCTAAGGTTCTGAAATGTGAAAAATATGCATGAAACTAGTGAAGATAAACTATGGCTTGATATACATGTAAACATTAATGTGTGTAAACACATGTTTAAAAATACTGCAGGATTTTTGTATCCAATATATTTTATTTGTACTTATTTGGTTTATTATGTAACTTGATGGAAATGTGCAGGTATTGTTAGACAATGATCATGCACATCTAAGTCTGATATCTAGGACAGCTGACATTTTAATTTCCGCAGCATCAAGAAATGTGCAGCAGACACCGAGGCAGCCGGTGTAGCTACACCACTGATATGATTGCTGGAGTGTATTAGACTGCTAATGTAATATAAAGCTTATCATCTCTCCCCTCTGATATCAGGGTGTAGAACCCTTTATGGAGAAAAATAAAAAGAGTGTTAGAGGAGAACAAGAGACGATGAGGATGAAAAGCCCCCTCTTGTGGCCAAACATGCACATTGCATTTCTCCTTGTGTCTGTGTGTCAGTGCGTTCGATTTTTTATCACGTTGCTGCTGTTTGTGTATTTCGTTGACCCTCAGTGACCGTATTGATCTATAAAAAGCAGGTTATGTCCCATTCTCCTCTCTGTTTGATATAAGCCAAACACAATAAATACCATCCCACACAAATCTGGGTTATCCATGCATCAGTAAAAATCTAGATCCATCCGTAATCCTAGCAAAATGAGTTTGTTTCAGCCTATTTCAGTGCTGAATGAATACAGTAAAATAAATATAAGGGGACAGAGTGCACAAAGAGCAAACATCATGTCAAACATTTTAGCCAAGGGTGATTTGAGTTCTAATTAATTAGTCTGGTTGTAATGAGATTACAAATAAATGCTCTGGTTTTGGCAGACGTTCAGTGCTCATAAGGACGGGTGTGGTGGAGTGGAGAGTAGGGAGGGGCAGCGACAAGGGCTGCGTATGCGTCATGAAAACCAGGGACAGGATAGTGAATTGATTACAGGAGCTCACTATGCAGAGATCTATCAGATGGACGCTGCTATTGTTGCTAGGCACAGTTTTTAACCAATCATAGGATCCTTTGGAGTTGCACTGATTGCAGCTGTCCAATCAGATTGTTCTGTAACATTTGCTGATATATATAAATACACAAACATATACATATATATAATGATACATATACAGATATATATATATATACT